CCACTCACCTCAGCCTCCCAAAGGCGCGGGATTACAGGCTGAGCCACCAAGCCTGGTTGGTAGTCATCTCTTAAAGATAATTCAGAAATAAGACTTTTGCTTAGTTTGTAATGTTTAAAATTTACTTAGTTTGTAGTGTTTAAAATTTACTTTCATCTATTATATAGGCAGAAAGGGTTGCCATAAGTTTAAGATAAAGGGGAATATAGATATAAAGCATAGCTAATTTCTGGTGATTCTAGTTGTGACAATAGATGTGTTGATGACAGAGATAGAATATGCACTTAGAATTAACTGCTTAAGCTGTCACAAGCTTATAAATATAGCATTTTGCTTTTTGGCTGTTTTATTTTGGAGAGTAGTCTTAGGTTTTCTCTTTTTTTGTGGGGGTATGCAGTATCTAATTTTTAATAATTTCCACATCTATTTTAATGTTTTAAAAAAGGGAGAATTGCTAGATTTCTCATTTAGATCATTCATTAGATAGTATTTTGTTATTTGATTTAGCAAATATTTGATCCAGGCACTGTGCTAGGTTCTGAGGATTCAAAATTAAGATAATTTCTCTTACAAGTTTATAACAGTTACTTATTGGTCCTGAGATTCTTGCTTCCTTTGTTACAAGATTTTGTTAACAATTTTTCTTGAGTTGGAGTCTCATTCTGTCACCCAGGCTGGAGTGCAGTGTGATCCTTCCATCTCAGTCTTCCAAGTAGTTGGAACTACAGGCATGTGCCCCCATGCTTGGCTAATCTTTTGATTTATTGTAGAGATGAGGTCTCGCCAAGTTGCCCATGCTGGTGTTAAACCCATGGGCTTAGGCAGTCCTCTTACCTTGGCTTCCCAAAGTGCTGGAATTATAGGTGTTGAGTCACCACACCTGGCCTAGTTTCCAGTTTTTCTGAATCATCTTGTGGTCACCTAGTCCAGTGTCCTATTATCTTGGATTCATGCATTTTTTTCCCCCTAGACCTTTAGGAGATGATTTGGAAATATCCTTGTGTTTCCTGTGCCTGCCTAGTGTCATTGAAACAGTGCAAGTTAGCAAAATCTGATATTAAATGTAGAAGGGTAAACTAAGTTTATCTTCTTCCCCACTCCTGTAATTCTAACCTTGTCTGTTCCACCAAAAATCCAATTCCAGATGGTTTGTCTTTTTAAAAACTGATACAAAAAAAAATAATAATCCCTGATTGCTGCTTTGTAAGCAGCATTTTATAATCGCTAAATGCTTACTCTTAATTGAACAGTGAACAGAATTTAAATAGAGGGTAAGTTTTATTTAAATGACAAATGGACAATATTAAATTCTTTTTTAAATCATTTTTTCCTCCCAGAAGTGCCATTTATGTTGTGTGTATATATCTGTGTATTCCTCAGACATGGATACAACCATGAAACAAAGTATATTCCAACAGTAATGCTGGGTCATGCATTACTTCTTTCGCATTACTCACAGAGTAACAGTAACAACTACCATTTGTTGACTACTTTTTAGACACATGCTAAGGGGTTTGTATGCATTATCTCATCGTTAACTCTGTGAGGACAGTTCTATTATCCAGATAATTAACAAGGCTGAGAGAGATGAATTAATTTGCCCAAGGTAATATATCTAGTAAGTGATAGAATTCTGACTTGGTTTTCTCTCACTCCAAAATGTGTGCCCTTAATTAGAGTAAATGAAACCATACTTGTAAAATAATTGAGAGGTAAAACGTCTACTGAGTATGGAGTGAGGTTTCTGTATTTAGGGAATTCATTCTTTAGCTAGTTGAGGAAACAATGAATACATATAAAAACAAGTAAACAGTTTTCTCTTTGTATGATTGGAATTTTGAGAAGGGAGGACCATTATGGGTAGGACTAGTTAGTGGAGGAGGTGTACTCATTGAGAAGTGTCTTCTAGTATAGTTAGGATTCAGATAGGTGCAGGTTGGGAGAATTTTGTTTTTTGTAGCAGCAGCAGCAACAGGGAAGAACAGCACAAAAGAAGAATGAAAATAAGCTTTTGTGATTTTTTTTTTTAAAAAGCACAGTTTCTAATTGCTTTAACTTGCATTAAATGTCCCTCCTTTTTTAGCAATAAAACATCTCTGAGATCTATGTATAAATATAGTACTTAACCATAGAAACATTAAAGTAAGTAGCATGACTTTTAAGCCAGGCATAGAATATTTTTGTTGCAGTTATTTTATGTTTATTTGTGTGTGTGTGCCTATGCGCATTTGCATGTGTGTGAGTCGTCATTAGGGTAAACAGTGCTTACTCCAAAATGTATGACTCGTTAGAATTCAAATAGTATGGGTTCCATTCAAAGTTAACTGATTTCTGGTAGTTAAAGCTAGTGCTGCTTGGCTCTTGTTACATCTTTTTCTTCAAAGCCACTACTGAACTCTTGGTGTCACTTTGAAAGATTTAGAGCATTTCTTAGTAGAAATCCTGGTAAGAAGTGCCTACTTAAAATATCATTCTTCATCCTCTTGAGTTGTCTGAAGTGCAGCCGTTAGGCTGAAGGACTCAGTACATTTGCTTTCTGTGTCCCCTGTTCTAGAAGGTCAGCATATAAAGAAGATAGGAAAAGGTCTTTGATTTGGGTCACAGAAGGTTGTTTTTTGAATTGGAGTCCCTGTTGCCCATGTTGGAGTGCAGTGGCACATTCACAGCCACCGCAGCCTTGACCTACTGGGCTCAGGCGATCCTTCCGCCTCAGCCTTCCAAGTAGCTGGAATTACAGATGTGTCCCACCATGCCTGGCTGGTTTTTTTGTTTTATTGTAGAGACGAGGTCTCGCCAAGTTGCCCAGGTTGGCCTTGAACCCTTGGACTCAGGCAGTCCTCTCACCTCTGCCTCCCAAAGTACTGGGATTACAGGTATGAGCCACCATGCCCAGCTTTTAAAAAAATATTTTATCTTTTTTTTTTTTTTTTGCTAGCCCCTTTCATTCAGCTTAAAGTCCCGAAAAGTTTAAAAGCACATACTCGCACAGCTTTTATTTACATACGAAAGTGTTTGTTGAGTCTTCAAGAAGGTATCTTTATAATATGTAGGAAGTCTCACTGACCTTGGGCTCTGTTTTTCTGGGCTCTGTTTTTACATTAATTTTGTTTATGATCTTGCATGACCTATTTGCTCTACCTGTAGAGCATTGTTAACTCTGCATGTCCTAAAAAGAATTTATTCTTAAAGGGGAAAGAAGTTCCAGTTGAAAAGTACTTTGAGAGCCTTTGACAGAAGAGTCACCTTATTCTGCATTATTGGTTTTATAACTTTTAAAAATCAAAGACCTTTTTCTTCTTAAGATTTCTTAATGTTTTATGTGATGAGTTAGTAAACTTGACAATTTCCAGGGAAGCTAAAAAAAAGTAGTACAATCTTATTTCTGAAATAAATGGAATGTATTTAAATATGTGGCCCTTCATCTTTGTCTTAGAGAACTGAAGCATAGAAAAACTTACCCTTGATAACAGACTAGTTTGTAAAGCTGATGAAGGAAATCTGGAGCGTGATAAATGAATCCTACCCTGTTCATAGGAGGTAGAATAACATAAGGTATATTTAAACTGTAGCTAAAGATTCTCTTTAGACATTATATAGGGATTTGACCCATAATGGTGAGATAGCAGAATTACTTGTTGAGGGAGGAATTTGGTAGTGATTTGGGGGAGCTGTCACCACAAAGAAAGGTAGAGGTAGTGCTGATCAGAACCCTGAAGCCACAGCTTCTAGCTTTGGTTCAAACATTCATCTTCTCTGGACTTTGCTTCTTTCTACCTATAAGACTAAGATATTGAACTGTTTCGTTTCCCAGCACCTTTTCAGGTTCAAGATTCTGAGAATTTGCCCTTGTTTCTGTCTTTATAAAGATAGAAAAAAGGAGTAAGTCTGACTTTTTAAGGATATGCCTGAAAGTATCTAAAAGAAGCCCTTCTAGAGTGATTTCCCGTTGTGACTTAGAGATTTTGTCTTTTTTCATTGAGTTATTTAAAGTGACTAATTCTGACTAATTCTGCCTGTAATCCCAGCACTTTGGGAGGTGGAGGGGAGAGGATTGCCTGAGTCCAGGGGTTTGAGACCAACCTGGGTAACTTGGCAAGATCTTGTCTCTTCAATAAATAAAAATATTAGCTGGACATGGTGGCACGTGCCTGTAGTTCCAGCTACGTGGAAGGCTTAGGAGAAAGGATCATCTGAGCAAGTTGAGGCTGTGGTGGCCATGAGCATGCCACTGCACTCCATCCTGGGAGACAGAGTGA